AAAAATCAATTCTTTGCCCCCCAGTGGCACAGCGGTATGTCTGCGGACTTACAACGCTAGAATCCGGGTTTCGATACCCGTGGTGGGCAGAGCACAGATAGCCCATTGTGTAGCTTTGTGCTTAATTGCAAACAAACAAACAATTCCAATCTAATATCCGTGGAGACAATTTCACTGTGAAAATTACTGCCGACATAGGTTAAAGAATAAAAATAAATTTCCAGAACACTTTATCTTGATTGTCGAACTACTTGTAATCACCAACAGATGGCAGCGTCAGTAACACGTCATATATCCTGCTTCAATGTGTATTTATGAGGTGTAATCGAGATGTGGGTCTGGCGAAGCTTATCGAAAAAGAAACTCGAAATATCGTCTCCACCTAAGATCTATGCCCACAGACCACCTAAACAAAATAGGTCAACAACTTCCTTATATATCCAGAAACTGTTAGTTCGTTTGTAGTTAAGCGCAAAGCTACACAATGGGCTATCTAAGTTGTACCCACCATGGGTATCGAAACCCGGATTTTAGTGTTATAAGTCCGCAGAGTTACCGCTGTGCCACTGGGTGAGCCCAGAAACCTTGGATCAGAAGTGCCACACTCTGATCCACCACGGGTATCGAAACCCGGATTTTAGTGTTATAAGTCCGCAGAGTTACCGCTGTGCCACTGGGTGAGCCCAGAAACCTTGGATCAGAAGTGCCACAATCAGAACAACAACCATGATGGAAGATACATCAGCCAGCTCAACCAATGAAAAGAAAAAGGAGATAAAAGAGGAAACAACAAAAACGCCCAGGTTGCTAAGATACTTAATCTTAACATATCTTCCCTTTTAAAAGATGACCACACTTCTATCATGGAAAGTTACCAAATCGGCGTAGACATGGACAACATTTTAAATAAAGAAAAATAAATATGAATAACGATAACTACTGTTACAGATCACCTAGAAAATGGGGAAAGGAAAGAAGTTCAAAGGTACGTAAAATATTTCCCCTTTGAAAGACATGCTGACTATCATATATAGGAGAATGTGAAAATGTCTTATAAACTGTAACTTTCGAAAAAAAGAAAACTGCCAGTCCACACAAATATTTAAGAAAGGAAAAAAAGGGGGGGGGATAAGGTTGTGATTAAGTAGCGTCAGAAGAATAAACTTTGACAAACATTTAAAAGTATAAGCCATAAGCACTTTACTGGTTTGAAAGGATATGGTTAAATTTAGGTTTACCAGGAGTGGTCCTCTACCCTAATACTAGTAACATTTACAGTTCTCATCATTAATATATTAAGGAGATCGGGAAATTAAAGCATAATACTCACAAAATTAAAGAATCACATCCACAAATTAAGACCAGAGGGCGTCTTCACGGTAGTACGAGTTGCAGTGAAAACAATAAAAGGTTAACACATAGTTTGAGGAGAGAAAAGTCGAAGACTTGCAACGAAATAGCTTTACTTAAGACATTGGAAGAGTTGTTTGTTTCTTTGGTTTTAATTTTGTGCACAGCCACTAGAGGTCTATAAGTGATACACTGAAGAAAGGACATTTAATCAACGCCACCCGCCTCTTAAGCTACTCTAATCAAATAGTGGGACCACATTATAACGTCCATATTGCTGAAAGAGCATGCATCATGTTATGTGACGGAGTTAGAGCCACAGATTATGAGTCGAGCGCTCTTAACACCAGGAGATGTTAGAAAAATACAGAAACCTAGAATAATACGGTTTTTATTTATAAAATTGAAAGTACGTATAAAAATTCGGCCTTGGAATATATAAAGATACCTATGTATATATAGGAACGGTATAAGCAGTGATTAAAGTGAGGGTGAGCCTTAGGGCACCCCGGCACCAGAGCTATATGGAATAAGGGGCCAAGGGAAGCTGAAATAATATTATAGAGATGATCTAAAGTATGTGGAGGAACTATTACGAAGAGCATTAAACTGGGCAAGATTGAAATCGCTGCTAACTAACCACAGTTATGTAAATGTGGGGCGATGGGCATGAGGAACCTAATACCTTGTCACGCAAAGTCGTCCAATGTATATAAAACTGATGATAACTGGCGATTCTCTAATATACAGTATAGACCTGAAAATGTTGTAATGAATAGTTGATATATTTAAGTTTCCTAAAAGGAAGTAACTAGTGGGTTAAGCAGTTTCCCCATTCTCCAAATGTCCACTTTAATCATTGGGTGTAAGTGAATAAATGGTGGGAGAACTGTAGAACCAATTGATATGGGTTTGTTTGTTTTTGAATTTCGTGCAAAGCTACACGAGGGCTATCTGCGCTAGCCGTCCCTAATTTAGCAGTGTAAGACTATAGAGAAGGCAGCCCCTAATTTAGCAGTGTAAGACTAGAGGGAAGGCAGCTAGTCATCACCACCAACCGCCAACTCTTGGGCTACTCTTTTACCAACGAATAGTGGGATTGACCGTCACATTATAACGCTCCCACGGCTGAAAGGGCGAGCATGTTTGGTGGGAAGGGGATTCGAACCCGCGACCTTCAGATTGCGAGTCGAGCGCCTTATCCACCTGGCCATGCCGGGCCTTTTCAAGTCAGACTAGGGTCCTAATGCGGTATCACACAATCGTTATATTTGCTATACCAACTATCACACTAAATATACATATACTCGGGAAGAGAACCCCAGTTCATGCTAACTTGATACTAAAAATGAATATGAAGCCTAATCTATCATTCGATTCACCTCTTGCTGAATTATACCAGTTTTGGAGAAATCAACCTCTGATGAGCAATCCTGGACAAGAGAAAATTGAAATAAAAAGACTAGACTTCTTATAAAGGTGAAATGTCTATTATATGTATGGTGTTTTAGTAATGATGATATTAAGATAGGCTTAGAAAATTCGGAAAGATTTGACATCATAGTATTCTAGTAAATTCGAGGGAATATTACAGATATAGTGTTCAGTGAAGCATTAAAAAAAGGATAGCCAAAAAGATAGATCAGAAAATAAAGATTCTTTAACTAGCCGGTAGATTGAATCAGTTTTTAATTTTCAGTTTAGTTTGTTTGTTTGTTATGGATTTCGCGCAAAGCTACACGAGGGCTATCTGTGCTAGCCGTCCCTAATTTAGCAGTGTAAGACTAGAGGGAAGGCAGCTAGTCATCACCACCCACCGCTAACTTTTGGGCTACTCTTTTACCAACGAATAGTGAGATTGATCGTCACATTATAACGCCCCCACAGCTGAAAAGGCGAGCATGTTTGGTGACGGGGATTCGAACCCGCGACCCGCAGATTGCGAGTCGAGCGCCCCAACCACCTGGCCATGCCGGGCCCCCCTGTAATGGACTTGAAAAACTTGAATCAAATGAATTAGCTTGAAATACAAGTTTCTTGAATTATTTCCACATTCAGTTCAAAGTAGGAGGAAATTAATTAATGTCTTTTCAATACGTGGACTTGACTTTTTGAATTATTTTCACCAGATAGTTTACAGAAAATCTCAAACAAAAAAACAACAACAATGTATTATACACTAAGAGAATAATTAAAAGTTTTTTTCGACTGTGACAACGCTCATTTACAATTTTGTTTTTAACCTCACATCCTTTGTCTTGTTTATCGCAGAAATCTGTGATAGATCAACAGAGAAGCATTTTTTTTTCGTTAAATAAAAATATAAAATATTTTATTTCAAGTTGTTGTTGTGTTATCCCAAAAACTACACAATAGGTTGTTTTCGTTCTGTACATCGCCCTAAATCGAGCCCTCGTTTTTATTATAATAACTACGCTAACTTATCACTGAGCTAACGTGGAACGTTTATTCAAGAAACAGCTCAGCGGTAAGACTGAAGGCCTATAATGCAAATAACTGGGTTTCGATATCATTGTATAGTTTTCTGCTTATATAAGAAACAAAAATACTTTCAGTTACACTTGCCCTCTGGTGGTTCAGCAATAAATCTGAGGGCTTATAACACTAAAAATTGAGTTTCGATACAAGAGGTGGGCAGAGCACAGATAGCTCATTGTGTAGTTCCGCTGCTCTTAACAAAATAAGACAATTACACTTAGCACAATTCCGTCCTTTTAGTATTTTTATCAACTGTTACATTCATTTTCTTTCACATTTAATTCTTTTTATTTTATTTGAGAGCTTATTATCTCTTGATTTCTTTTATATATTTACAGCACAAACTAACATTTATGAAGTTTCTAATAAGTCTGTAGATAATATGTTAGCCATTAGATTTTGTTTGGTTTATCAATAATAGCTTCAAATTAAATATTAAATCAATGGATCAGATCACTGAGTTATTATAGTGAAAAGTATCATTTTTGTTTGAGACATATTTGAATAGAAAGACACATAAACATTACAACGTAGATTTATCAAGATATCAATCAGGTTTCCAGATTAAAGTTTAACTTTTACATATGAATTTTGTGATAAGCTAATTGATAGACAAACAATAATGATAATATAAAATTTGTTTACTCGCTACAGATAGAGTACAGTGTTTTTTTGTTTTTTTTAGTGAAGTATTTATATCTGTGTTAGCTATCGCGCAAATTGAGCATATTCATACAAGTTGAGTTCTGTTACGTTAGTGTAATACAGTTAACGTCATTTATAAGCGTGGCCTACATTTCACCAGAATGTTTAAGTTTATAGACACATTAAAGGAATAAATTAATTTGTTTTTCATTACGATGACTTGATATTAAATTATTTTCACCAGATAATGTAAAAGCAACAACCAACGAAAGTACAACGCTACTACAATAAAGAAATAAGACTGATAATGTATTATTTGTTTACACAGTTTTACTAGTTATTTATAAGAGTACATAAATAAGTAAGATAAGAATATTTTAAACAAGACTCAAATGCTGTGAATTAATCTTACCTCTAGACTTGTCTCTCGGTGGGTCAACAGTAAGTTTGTGAATTTACAATACTAAAACCCGATTTTTTTTTAGTGGAAATAGCACATATAGAATTTTCTGTAGTTTGGCTCTCGAACAAACAAATAATTTCAGACTTCATATTTGAACTTCGTTATAGAGCATGCATTTAACTTTTGACTATTTTACACAATTTTAAGCTGAATAAAAGACAAAAACATTTATTGTAATCTAGAAAATTAAAATAAGTTATAATTAAATGTAACCAATATAATATTTTTGTATAATTATAATTAAATTTATTTGTTTTAAAAATTCAAAATTGATTCCTCATAACAACGATCAGAAATGAACTATTCGGAAATATTAGAGGCCGCCACAATAAGAAAAAGATGGCGATTGCATCAGAAAACTTTGATGTAATCGGTTTAATAGAAGAGTGGAATCAGCTTAATGAAGATTTTAAAGAACTTGAGGTTTGTCAGTAATTAGGGGAATAAGCATTTTTATATTGTCTACTCTTATAACTGATTATTTCGTGAGCATTTAAATAAAATTAGTGCTAAGTGTCGCATCTAGCCTACTAAAGTACAATGTGTCAAAATAATAGCCATGACCATGGACATATAGTATACTTGAAAGTTGACAGTGACACGTAATACTCATTAATACTAATAAACTCGTATCAAATACAACAGAATTGAATGTACTTGATGTTTAAAGTAACCCTGAATTTGCTCTACTACTACTAATGAAAATGTTTTGCACGTACTGGGTTGGTTTTAACGGATTAAAAATAAAATATTTGTAACTTTAAAAAAACAAAAATCCTGATAATAGTTGGGCCTAATTGAATTTGAATAATTCTCTGAGGTATAAGAATTCAGCCTCACATCATGATAGTAGGTATTTTGTAATGAATATTGTTGGTTTGAACAATTTGAAGTTCTTTTATCATTTACTGTGATAAAGAAGTCATGGTTATAGTTTAAGAATTTTATTTGTATAGTATATTTTGCATCTCAAAGAATGCTTGTAATCAAAATAAAAAACAATGATTCTATGGTGATAAACAGTTGTTGAAAAGGCAAGTGTTAACTATTGTGTTAGTGCAGTCCCAATAAAGCTGAGAAGATTGATTGAAAAAAAAGAATGGAAACTTCCCACCAATACTATTATTGTAACAGTAAGGCTTTTATTGTTAAAACCCAGCTATTACTGCTGCTGTTGAAAAAAAACTTGTCATCAGTAGTTTAAAGCAGATTAAATAGTAGTACTTAAAGAAGCTCTATTTGTAAATTGTATATATTTCTGTTGGAAACTTTTAAGAGTGAAAGTAGTGGTCATTTGAAATTATATATTTTTTTCAATCTTTTGATAGCTTTGCAGAAAGTTTCACTGACATATTTATTTTTTAAGTATTTTGTATCACTAGACAATAAATAAAATGAACATATATTCTAATTTGTTCTTTACATAAACTGGTTTTGGAATTATACATTATACACCTACAATTACTGTTATTTTCTTTTTAGACTACACAGAAGGCTTATGGAAAAGCTTTAGATGAAATTGTTAAATTTCAAGTCAAATGTGCCAAAGGAATAACACACCAAAGATATCGTTTGGGACAGATTTCTCAAAGCCTAAAACAGTGAGTTCAATTGTATGTTTTGTTACACTGCTTTTGTGAATAATTTCATGTATTGTTTATATATTAGAAAGAAGGCTGATAGACACCGAAGGAGTAGTTGTGGTTGAGTTATATATCAAAATTTCAATTGAATTACTGTATTATGGTCTCTCTCTCTGTTGTTACATCATTATAATTTTACAATAAGCCAGGTTGTGAGGACCTGTGCATTACAAGATTTTCTGAGAAGGAATCAAACAATAAAAGCATTATGTAAGTGATCTGAAACACAAACATTTATAGTTTTACATATGGAAATTAGGCAACAGAAATATCACTACAAATAAAGTTTTGAGTTTAATTACAATAATACTTTAGAGGACATTTTTATCACCAACAAATATAATATGGATTGTTTAAAATAAAATAACCATACAAAAATAGACAAGGGAAATAACTACTCACTAGGGTGATAGGAAAGCTAACCCGATATTTAGCTAACAAATCCAAGTTTAAAAGAAACTTCAATCTTCACATAGAGCCTTTGGAAAGTAAGCGTGATCATTCAAGGTGCTTATCTTTATGTGTCATTTCAGTAGCCCTCTGGAAAGTATACTTTCAGTTACACTTGGGTTACACTAGTTACTGACTGTGAGTTTTATCATTCATTGTGGCTTCCTTTTGGACAGCATAATCAGTCCTGATATATAATTTATCCTGACAGCTTTCTTTTTTTTTTCTGTTTACAACAAATTTTAACTTTTACATTCTTGGATAAACACTTCTCTTTAGTAGTAGCTCAGACAAAAACCTAACAAATTTTATGCCATTGATTTACATTTGTTTCGATTCTAAGGCAGGTAGAAGTATTTCATCAAAACAATTTTCCCTCATTTTTTAAGTTTTTCTTCATGTTCAGTCAGTGCATTTGATCCATTACACTACTGACACTATTCTTCTTAGCCTCTTAGAAAAAGTATTTTATACTAGAAGTGAACCTCTTACAGCTCTAGCTGTCATTACCTTTTCTTTTGTTCATTCAAGTCAATTTAACAACACCCTTCTGTTCAATGTGTTTTAGATTAACCGAGGATACTGAAATTTTCCTTTAACTATGAGATTATCCTGTTTGACCTTTTCATTGCCTTTGTATAAGCAGTTTCTGAATGGCATAGGTTGAAACTGCCCATTAGAGCTGAGCTATTAATTGTATTTCTAAATTGATTAATCGACAGGCTCGTCATTCGATTACATTTTACCATGGATGCGAGTTGCTTCGATAGCCTTTTTCAACCACTGCATTATTCTAAAATGGTATTAATCTTCCTATTTTCGTTGACATTCTTTTGGGGCTTGTTTTATTTCATTTTTTAATTACCCTTGGCTTCATATCATAGACCTCGTCTGAAGGTTGACATTTATGCATCTTAGAGAAAACTTTTTTTGTCTAAAAAATATTTTGACACAATTTTCTTAAAGATAATCTGGACATTTGCAACTTGGTGAATGAATCACTAATGATGATTAGTACCACCATCACACTAATAAAGTTTTCATTGTTAGCCATTAAACCCATACCTTATCTCAAGTTATTTGACTTCTTTTCATTGAAGACAGTTTTCTGTAGCTTTCAAAGAGATATGATTTAACACAGAAATAATTTCATAATTCAGAAATGAATGGAACTAAAAGGAATGTCTACAGAAATGATAAAAAATAATCTTAAACCTTAGCTATTACATGATAGTCTAATTCTTGTTCTATCCAATCATATTTAATCTTTCCTTATAGCCAGTGTTCCCTCTAGGCTGCATGGCCGCACAACAACCAATCAAATGCCACACATTTCATTATTCTGGCTGCAAACATCCTCAGTAATGGTGATGATTCTCAACACATTGATGGCCTTAATGACCCTGGAAGTCGATAGGCCTAAAGCCCAAATAACCAACCAGTAGCATTGCAAAGTAGCCTAATGATCCAGTAGGGTCAATGGTATAAAAATACCCCTCACCCCTAAAAAAAAACTGGTAATGCACATTACCGTGATACTGGTGCACATGAAAAGATTCATTCTGCACATGGATTTAAAAAATTAGAGGTAGCATTGGTTATAGCTGCTTTCAAAGCTGTGTTTCATTTGTAAATGATTAAACCACTTGACATGGAACCATAGGGTTCCAATCAAGGCTTGTACAAAAACTAAAGGAAACATTTGAAAATCATGAAATGGATACAGTATTCTCAAGGGGTGATGGGTTCTAAGCAAAAATAAAGTTATTCTTTGGGATGAGCAGAAAAATAAAAAAATAATCATCAAGTGAGTTGTTTTGTTTACAGGCAAAACTCTGAACATGTGCAGAAATGAAAATATAACTTTGTTTTTTTTCATTCATGAATTTCCTGAAATAGATGTCAGGAACTGACAAAATATCAACTCTTATTTTTTAAATATAGTTAGAATTAACATATAGAACTGAATTAAAAATTTGTGTTTCAAAATATTTTAACAAGTGGTAAAAATTATGAAAAGCCAAAACAAGCCATCATTTGACTTCAGCAAATTAGTTTAAAATTATGTTAATTTTTTAATCCTAAACTTTATACATGAAAAAATAAGATACAGGCAATACAACTGCATTGGTTAACAACTAGAAACAATGAAAAGTTTATTCAATTATCATTCACTTGTTGCAAAAATATGGTGTTTATATTTTCATACTTGTTAATCTAGAAAACTTAGTATTGTTTTACATGTTTATTACCAAGTTTACCACAGTGTTGGAGTCTTAAGTGTTGTGTGTATAACTACACAGTTACTCAAATGCTTTGTAACTAACCAAGAGAAATGAATAATTGTAACTGATTTTATTTATCAGACAAACAAGTTCTTAGCCAAAGTAAAAAATATAGTAACATCAATTTATTTTGTAAAATAAAACTTTAGATAGTTATAACATTATTTTAAAAAGTTTGAAATCCATTAGGAATGAATATGAATAAACCCAGAAGATAGGTAGGAGTAACATATTATTATTGTTTAAACAAGTAACGACACTGTTAAATTTTTTCATAACTAGCTGCAGTAATGTTTCATTTTTACAATTATATGATACCAGTTAGCTTTGTGATAATATTGTATTCTAGATTAATCAATGTTGACCAAGTAGTCCTAAAATAACCTAAATAAGTCAAAGGAAGTTAGAGTAAATTTTAGCTGTGTGATGATATTGTATTCTAGATTAATCAGTGTTGACCAAGTAATCCTAAAGTAACCTAAATAAGTCAAAGGAAGTTAGAGTAAATTTTAGCTGTGTGATGATATTGTATTCTAGATTAATCAATGTTGACCAAGTAGTCCTAAAGTAACCTAAATAAGTCAAAGGAAGTTAGAGTAAATTTTAGCTGTGTGATGATATTGTATTCTAGATTAATCAGTGTTGACCAAGTAGTCCTAAAGTAACCTAAATAAGTCAAAGGAAGTTAAAGTAAATTTTAATATATTCTATAAATGGTTAGCTCAGTCAGGTTATAATCCAGAAATTTCAAAGTCTGCATCTTTATTTCTAGTAAAGTGATTGATATGAAAATAAAAACAGAAACAAACATTTCAAACTATTTAATTTCAATTGCAATTAAATAGTTATAATTAGTTATAAATATATTAAGGAAAAAGTTATAGTGTTGGTAAATGGGATGCCAGTTTTGAAATATTTTTAAAAAGTTGTTACATATACAGTCATACTGCTTGTATTTTCACTTATTTTAGACATCAAATATAAGTAATGTATCTTTTTTGTGAGAATTCTAAATTCTAAACAGTGAAAAGTTGATTCTACAAAAAATCTAGTTATAAGAGCTGCAGGTATTCTAAACAATACTTTGATGAAAACAAATCTCTAAAGTCTAAAGAACTTTTAGTACTAGTAATAGTCAACCTTATAACACCAAATTTTTTATTTTTCTTTAATTGGACACTCAACATTTCGTTTAATAGCTTCTTCAGGAGAGTTCCACTAAAACACAAACTATAACTGATAGTACAGAGCTTCAATTGGCTTGAATAGTAAATTCTAATCGAACCTGTAATATGCATTTGACATATTATGTAGTAAAATTTTTGTTGAATGAATGGTATTGTTGAAACACATTGTTAATTTATCTGGTAAATTTACCATGATAACATTTTTATTAACATTTATGTTCTTGCATTAGCTTAGAAATAATCAGTTACCGGCTGAGGCCTTAATTGGATCGTTGTAAATATCAGCTTTTTTGATCTCAAAACACCTCGAAAATATTTTATGGTAATTAATACCAAATCAAATGTAAACATTAACATCTGATGTTTCTTTTTGATACTATATGGTAGCCTGAGGATGTCTGTCTGTGTTTTTTTTTATTAATTTCTGAAAAAAAATGAAGGGGAATGGGTATGGATGTTCCGTAGATCTGCGGCTACTTATAAAGCACTGTACCCCTCTTCTAGATTCATGTCTGCTTAAACAACATTAAAGAATAGTTATTAATTCCTTAAAAATGTGGGTCTGGACCCCACAACTCAAGATTTGTGACTTCTTATCCAATATTTAATTAGTTATTAATTTCTGAAAAAATGGGCAAGAAGGGATTTCACCCCTGGATCCCTCCCTTAGATCTGCACCTGCTCTTACAACTTTAACGAGTGCAGTTATCCAATTTTAAATTAGAAACATAAGACAATGCAAAAAATAAATAAATTTACACTTTATTTAACACTTAAGTATCTAGAGGCTGGCAGTGGGTGCTGCCAGCCAGCTGCCATTCTTCTAGTTAGCTGTTCAAAATTATGTAGCTTTATGCTTAATAACAAACAAGCATATTGTCAGTATTCTGATTAGTCTATTGTTTTTGTGACATTAATCAATTAATAAATAAACTTAGTATTCCAAACCAAAGAGTTTGTGTACTATATCTACTATTGTGTGGCTATATAATGGGAAGAACTGAATAGTGGCCAGTGACACCTTTTCTTCACTTCACCTGTCCAGCGTATAGGTTTTTCTCATAGTGACTACAAAGCATGTTCACACCAACAATATGGTTGATTAATCGATTAGTTTACAAGACATTAACTTGTGTAATCCTTGCTCATGAGTAATCAATTATTTCGATTCATTCATTCAGCTATACTGGAAAGTAGAGATCGTATGAAGTTGGTCTTTCTTTACTCTATCATTTTCTAATGTAAGATCTAACCGAGACAAGAAGCGCTTGTTGTTTTCCACTTGTGCTGTCTTATAATATCTTCTGGTCTCATGCTTTCCCATGCTAGTGAAATATATAGATCTGTTTCCCAAACTGGTTGATCTTCTACAACTTTTTTTTTCCTACCATTTTCTTAATCATTATTTTGTTTTTGTTAGCTTTAGTTGATTACACTAACATCTTGTTAAATCACTCTTTCAGCTCCATGTGGAATTCAATTGTAACATAAGAGACAAAAGTGTATTTAATATTACACATCTAATGTAAAATATGGCTACCGTCTCAATTCAGACTTTTATCTGCTGTTGTGGCTAGTCTTAACGATTAAAAGGAAGAGTTCATATGACTCTCTCAGCACCAAACTGGAAACCTTTGTTATTAACTACAACCTCTTTTAATAATGGTCACTTATTCTTTTTAAAAAAAATTCTTTCTCTGACTTTTGTAACCACATAGATGGCTTTAGAAGCCGTATGATAGTTTATTAGTGAAGAAAAATTGTTTGTGTTACTGAAGTGGAGTATGTGCTTTATGGCCTCATTTGACTCTTAATCTATGTTATTATAAAAAAGTTGTTTGTGTTACTAAAGTGGAGTATGAGCTTTATGGCCTCATTTGACTCTTAATCTATGTTATTATAAAAAAATTGTTTGTTTTACTGAAGCGGAGTATGTGCTTTATGGCCTCATTTGACTTGTAAACTATGTTATTATGAAAAAAAAACATTTGTGTTACTGAAGTGGAGTATGTGCTTTATGGCCTCATTTGACTCTTGAAATATGTTATAAAAACATTTGTGTTACTGAAGTGGAGTATGTGCTTTATGGCCTCATTTGACTCTTAATCTATGTTATTATAAAAAAAAATATTTGTGTTACTGAAGCAGAGTATGTGCTTTATGGCCTCATTTGACTCTTGAAATATGTTATTATAAAAAAACAATTGACTCCTAAACTATGTTATTAAAAAAACATTTGACTCTTAAACTATGTTATAAAAAAGTTGTTTGTGTTACTGAAGCAGTGTATGTGCTTTATGGCCTCATTTGACTCTTAATCTATGTTATAAAAAAACATTTGTGCTGTGGAAGTGGAGTATGTGCTTTATGGCCTCACTTGACTCTTAAACTATGTTATTATAAAAAAATATTTGTGTTACTGAAGTGGAGTATGTGCTTTTTTGGCCTCATTTGACTCTTAAACTATGTTATTATAAAAAAATATTTGTGCTACTGAAGCGGAGTATGTGCTTTATGGCCTCATTTGACTCTTGAAATATGTTATTATAAAAAAACATTTGACTCTTAAACTATGTTATTATAAAAAAAACATTTGACTCTTAAACTATGTTATTATAAAAAAAACATTCGACTCTTAAACTAAGTTATTAAAAAAAATATTTAACACTTAACCTATGTTAATATAAAAAAAACATTTTACACTTAATCTATGTTATTATAAAAAAAAACATTTTACACCTACTTATTTTTTTCAAGAAAATATAGGGTGTCCGAAAAAGTCTGGAACCATGAACACTTCAACAAAGTTTACAGAATATGCTGTTTTTGTAATTCAAAACAAGTTTGGATTAACAGCAGGATAAACTTGATCTTCTCATGCTTTAACAGCGCCATAATCAGTGACGTATCTGAAATTAAGAGAAGATACAAATCACCTATGGTTCCAGACTTTTCAGTCACCCTGTAGGCAATGAGACTATGATTATTCCTAGTGTAATATGTTGGGTCAACTCAAACAAATGAAGCATAACAGTAGTATGAGCTTTAGATGGTGAATATTGGCTGTCTCTCTTGTTAATGATTGTGAAATATTATAATATTGGACTAATTGAGACAAGTACTTATTCCATTTTAAGTAATTTCTTCTAGTTTTTGAATTATTATTGTGTTCTGTAAGCCCTCTACACATAGCAACCAATAATTTACTGAATAATTTTTACATCCTGGTTTTATAATCAACAAATCTATGGTGGTGAAATTGTACTAACAAAATTACTTTTGTTAGAATCAAGCAGGTCAATGAGGATGACAGCGTAGAGCTACAAGAATTGAACAGGAAGATAGCATGCAGGAAGGAACAATTACATGACTTAGAAGAACAATTACCTAGTAAAAATGGGTAAGTCACATATACCGTAGGTGTTCCAGTCTACAGGACAAAAGATACAAGTGTCTCTCTGTAATGCAGACATAGTAGCTGTACATTTTTAAAGGATTGGATTACTCAGTGTTAGTTTGTGTGTATGCGAGTATAAAATTTATAGATCAGCTATAATCAGATTCAAGCTAAGAGTAACTAATGCTGTAATGATATTAGTTTAATTTGAAAAAAGCATTTTAACACTTGGATTTTTAAGTCAGTGAAAACTATAATTAAGTGAGATATAATGGACATTATGAACTTACATTTCTTGTATTAAGGGAGGTCTGGGAATGAGAACAATATATAAATGGTTCATTTCTCCTATAATTGAAAATTTTATTTATATTTTTTATATCAAGTAAACCTCTTAAAAATCCAAAACCATTACTATGTTCCCCTCGACATCTTTATGTGTAATTGAATAAAATAAATGAGCTTCAAATGTTATAAAGATTAACATTTATAGGTAGCACAAAGTACTGCATAATTTGATTACATTAACCTCTTGTTTGGAAATTAATATATAATTATTACATGTAGTAATACATTGAAAAAATATCTGGCAGTATGTGGTTCTGTCGATGTAAGAATGAGTTCATAATGTTCAACACTGGATTTAAACCTTAAATACTTGCATACTTAATAGATTTGGACCCATTATTATTTGGATAGTTTTCATGTGGCCCTCACTTAAGTAATTAAGGGTTAAAAAATACCAGTTAATGTTTCATCTGGAGTTGACCTATACTTACATAATACTGAACTACTCCTTTGATGTTGAGTACCTACTGATATATCCCTGCTTTCAGATTAGCATTACGTGCACAGGTGAGGGTCAAAGTGTACCTTTTACAGAGTACCATTCAACATGGTATTATGTATTTAATGTCAAAGTTATCAACTATTAATTTTACCTGGTAGAAGAGAGTAAATACCAAATATGATATACAGGGGTACTGAAAAAAAATGAAACGTGCATCTAGGAGGTTATGCAAGTACAAAATGCAGACTGTACGATGGATAAAAGTATCTTGATACTTCACAAAAACATCATCTTGCGCTCTGACTTGTCAGAGTCTGATTCATCTGATTTTTTGTGTACAATGGACTTGTACATTTTACTAAAAGCTTTCTACATTTTGTGTAAATTTGGAATTATAGTCAGTATTCCTTTTCCAATAAGGGGCAGTCCAATGGACCAAGTCCATGCATATTCAAAATGTTACCTTCTTTGAAATGCTTAAAGAATTATAATTAAAATAATGCAATTTTTATTTTCTTTTTTTCAAGGCCTTATCTTCAGGTCATCCTAGGAAGTGTCAATGTGTCTCTTCTCAATAAAGATGACAGGTAATTTAAAATACTAGATTAAAATATCTACACCAAAATACTGTCATTTAAAATTTTATAAACAAAGTGTAATGTACATTTTTGGAGGAAAACTTCATTTCATACTTATGTGTTAAGTGTACTTTCTATTCAAGTTGAAATCCAGCACAGCTGTATAACTGTTTTTTTTTTATATTGGTAATAGCACCATATTAACAAATGGATTATAAATAGTTTAATAAATATTTGTAAATTATTATGTTTAAAGTTTTCTTTGTTATTGAAATTCCAATTGTGCCAGCCATTCAGGTGTAAAATTTATTGGTTTACCAAAAAAGAAATATTGGCCAACCCCACACTAATTCAGATTAAGGTCACGAGGGGGGCGGATGGGTAGATTTTGTGAAACTATAAGCATGATATTTAAGCAATAAAATTTGTAAAATATCAATATACATATGTATATATATTCTATGTTTTTTGTTGTTTTTAAAGTCTGTGAAATAAGTTCATACCTGAGTTTCATATATCAACAAAATGGGCTGATTCTATAAAAATAGCCCAGGATATCAAGCTGACTAGCCCCTTATTGATGTATAATGTGCAAACTGTTTATACAGGGGTGAAATTCTGAACTTATTTTTTAAGGCAGTACTGGTATCAGGACTTATTTGAGCTGATTTTTTTTGGATGTGCATGCGTTCCATTGTTCCGTCAGAAAGCATTTATTCATTGACACTCAAATTGTCATTTTTTTATGTTTACACATAGATTTTCTTTTTCAAAAACAGGTCCACTTCACCTAGCTGAGTACCTCTACTTTTTTTTTTGACAGAGTTTCATCCCTGTGTATATATCATAAAAAATACTTAACATACTACGAGTCTTGTTCCCGCAGCAATTAAAAACGAATTCTCAATCTCTTGATGGGCAAACCATTTCTGTCTGTTGACAGAAGGCACTCACGGAATGTGTTGTAGTTCTACTTTGTTTAAATGACAGTATCTTATAATTATTTTATTAATTAAAGATTTTTTTTTCAGGTTCAAGTATAAGGATGAATATGAACAGTTTAAGTTGGTTGTGACAACAGTTATTCTTGTCTTATCTTGTATATGTATTGCTGTTTATTACAGGTAAGTTTTGTTTGTTTGATAATTATCAAAGATAAGCATTGTTTACTGTTTAAGAATTTTCACACACTTGCATTGTTAAAACATAACACTACAGTATTTTGGCATGATTGTCTTTGAACAATATTTGTCATAATGTTGAGTACCAACTTAACACGGTTGTTTGAAGAAGACCATAATCTCAAGTGTAATACTATTTATATGTCAAGTAGTCGAAGACATTTAATAAATAGCACTGTTTTTTATTAATATTATTGTTTGCTTTACTTTTTTCTTGGAAAGTACATCTATTCTGGTTTGGTACTACCGTACTTTGATGATAAAGATTTGTTTTTGTTTCAGAGTTTTTGATTCCATACTCCACTTTCTTCTGGTTTGGTACTACCGTACTTTGATGATAAAGATTTGTTTTTGTTTCAGAGTTTTTGATTCCATACTCCACTTTCTTCTGGTTTGGTACTACTGTACTTTGACGATAAGAGAAAGCATTCTTGTTATTAATGGATCAAGGTAAGTCCATCTGGCCTATGATTTTTCAATACAAAATATCAGTTTTAAACTATTTCCGAATTCATTTATTTAAATGTAAAATAAACTACAGTTTTATATGTTTACCATTGATATTTAGGGCAGGGGTCCGCAACGTTTCATGTGCCACAAGACATGCTCAAAACCGTAAGCAACGTCTTAGCCACATTGTCGACGCGCTGGCGACGTGACTATACTGAAGCCAGTTCTTGTGGTGCACGATCAAAGTCGTCCAAGTGTGCATGTGACAAAACAACTCAAACATATAACATCATAGTTGATAGTTTGGTGCAAAGTATGATTTTTTGTGTGCATTCAGTAATAATTCACTGTTTTCTTTTTAAGTGAACTGTTGTCGTGAGCTATTTGAAGGATGTTGTCCACAAAATTTGTGTTGAAAACCTCTGACTTAGGACATAGTTGGTATGAATAACATGCAGTCCTTCTGTTTCATTTCAGGATAAAAGGATGGTGGAGAACTAATCATTTCCTCACGACTCTTCAAGCAGGAGTCATTATTGTATGGTGAGGTTCTTTCAACTCTATGTATTGTGAACATAGGGTATTTATAGTTAAAATGAATTAGGGTTAGCTTTTATTTTATTTGTCTTGGAACAAAGTAATCACACATATATATATATATGCAAAACAATCATATAATCTAAACTCGGAGAGAAAAACACTTGCTGACATCTCCTTCATGTTTATTTCTGTAACAGTACTGTTTCATTGTTTTTTACTTATTTCTGTTCTGTTCTTAAATGCACTTGGTTGATGACGTAAAAGAACAAGCGTAGCTCACCAAATCCAAGTTAGTGAATTGGAAACAAAAAGTGATCAATCAAAACATACAAAATAGCAGTATGTAAATATTGTTATTGATAATACATGTACTATTAATAATAACTAATATTTAATAGTATTATCTTAATATTACATATTACAGTGTATTATAAAAATGACATGCTATTAGAATTATTGAGAAATCTACATCCATAACAATATTCATTTTTAAGAGAATTGTTTAATTGTGTATATAGCAATGAGTTCCAAGTTTTTTAGTTTAGAAATTTAGTTTAAAAAAAGTTCATTATAAAGAGCAATTTGCTTTGTTTCATTAGTGTATGGATTTAGAAATAATTTAAACCTGGTTGAATTTTGTGGTATATTATTGGAATTACAGCTAAAAATAACATTATCAGTGAGAGAAGTGGGCACTGGTATACTGAAGTGTTTATAATCAGTTTCATATTTACAGGGCTGTTTTCAGTTATTGATAAGTTTATTTTCAAATTAATTCAGTTCTGATTTATATAGTTAACATACTTTTTATCAGAAGTTTTTAATATTAAATTACCATAAAAACAGGCTTGTACTAAACTGGAGTCATAAGATCAAGACTTTTTTTTTTCTCTGTGAATATTAGATATGTGTAGTTTGAGTTTGGGTGTTTTTGCTTTGGCATTTTCACTCTACAAAGTAATTAACAGAATTTACAAAATTTTTACTATGGTAATGCATAACTACTGTCATAAAATAATGTCTCTCCTGTCAGTCAGTTTATTGTTCAACAGATCAGAACACTAAAGATTTCTAATGCGTTCTGAAACACACAGTATTTATCCTACGTGTTAATGGATATTTTGGTCAGAATGGCTATACACTTTAATGGTTTATGAAATTTCTCTTCAATATTGAGCATAGTCACCACAAACAACCAGGACAGACTAGCATCAGTATTGTATGCTTAAAATCAGGGTGTTGGTATGGTCCTGTTTTCAGAGCATTTTTAGCGTATCTGTCAACAACGTCCCATACACGTTTAAAGGACTTGAACTCTGTGAGCATTCAAGCCATCCCATTTGTTCAACATGCTTAGATGACTTGAAGTCTGTGAGCATTCAAGCCATCCCATTTGTTCAACATGCTTAAAGGACTTGAAGTCTGTGAGCATTCAAGCCATCCCATTTGTTCAACGTGCTTAAAGGACTTGAAGTCTGTGAGCATTCAAGCCATCCCATTTGTTCAACATGCTTAGATGACTTGAAGTCTGTGAGCATTCAAACCATCCCATTTGTTCAACATGCTTAAAGGACCTGAAGTCTGTGAGCATTCAAGCCATCCTATTTGTTCAACATGCTTAAAAGACCTGAAGTCTGTGAGGATTCAAGCCATCCCATTTGTTCAACATGCTTAAAGGACTTGAAGTCTGTGAGCATTCAAGCCATCCTATTTGTTCAACATGCTTAAAAGACCTGAAGTCTGTGAGCATTTAAGCCATC